ATAGAATTGAGAAAAATTATGAAACCGAGCATTTCAAAGCAAAATCTGAATCGAAATCTGATTCTGATAAGGAAAAGAAAGTTGATTCAAATTTTTCAAATTCTGATAAAAAGAAGGTTGACTTTCAAACTCCTCCATTTTGTCATTTTCAAGAAGCCACCCCCAAATTAAATTCAAAAGAAAGTGTTCTTAAGGAACTTGCTTCTCAATTGTCAAAATTATCTATCTTATCTTCTTCAAAAAATATTAATACCATAGCTGAAATTGAATCTCAATTTATTGAAGAATCCAATCTTCAAATAAATAAGATTCAAGGAAAAAATACTCAATTTTCAAAAATTCCTGCTTATTATCCTCGTCAAACCCCTCCGAATCTACTTTTTGAAGAAAGTAGTAGAATCCAACAAAAATACAATGCTGAATCTATCCTCGAGTGGAATATCAATAGGTTATCTGAATATCGAATTATTCAAGTTCTTTAAAAAATGGGTATATGCCTTAATGCATATATTGCTAGTGAAATCTACAATCAAGAAGCTACAAATAATATCATTCTTGGATTTTCTGATCAACTCAAAAATTGGTGGTTTAATTACCTTTCTCAAGATGATCGAGATACGATAATTGAAGCTACTAAACCCGATGGGACAAATATTAGTTTTCAAATATTGGTTTATTGTATTATCAAACATTTTATTAGAGTTCCTACAAATGTTCAAGATAAACATTCTCAACCTCTCATGAATCTCACTTGTCCTACTTTACAAGATTTTCAATGGTACAAAGACACATTTATTCCTCATGTCTTTCTTCGAAATGATTGTGAACAAGCCTATTGGAAAGAATGATTTCTTTCTGGACTTCCAAAACTCTTTCCAGAAAGAGTGCAGAATTCTCTCAAAAAAGAATACAATAACACTATTCCTTACAATACTATTACTTACGGCGAATTAATATGTGCTGTTAATCAAGACGGATTAGCTCTCTGTAATGATCTCAAACTCAAAGCCAAATTGAAATCAGAAAGATCTGATGGTCGTCAAGAACTATGATCATTCTGTGAACAATATGGATTTGAGAAAATTTTTCCTCCTTCAAGATCAAAAAGAAAATATTTTCCTTCTCATTTCAAGAGAAAATCTTCTCGAAATTATTTTTACAAGAAAAAGAATTTTCAAAATTCTCCTCCAAAAAACTTTTCTAAAAGAAAGTTTTCAAAGAAAAGAACTTCCAATGTTAGATGCTGGAAATGTAACAAATCTAGTCATTATTCAAATAAATGTCCTCTTAAGGGAAAGATTAGTAATCTT